GCTCTTTGTAGGAAGGTTGGCACAATTAGGTATTGCTTTTTCATTGATAGGAGAGATTATCACAGGAAAGGGAGCTCTAGCGCAACTAAACATTGAGACTGGAATCCCAATAAGTGACATTGAGCCACTTGTGTTGTTTAATGTTGCTTTCTTCTTCATTGCTGCTTTGAATCCTGGAACTGGTAAATTCGTCACTGATGAGGAAGAGGATTAGATGAAAATTAATGAATTTGGGGTTTTGTAGATTTTAATGTATTTATTTGTATTTTTGTGTGACGTATGACTATAATATTAGTTTCCATTAAACATTGTTAAATAGCAATGGATCGATGTTTGATGTTCGATGTGTGATTAAAAAACCCCGTTTAATAAAACATAGAAGATAGAGAAATAGTGTTAATTGGATTCGTCACATCATATGACCATATTGGTTCCAATTTAGTATTCGCAAGAGAGTTAAAAGAATCATTAACTACAACAAATACCATATATACGGGGGATGTGTGTGGGGGGGGGGGGGGGGGGGGAATGATCGTATATATGGTATTCGTTTTAGTTAATTTAAAGCAAGATTGCCGGACAAAATGATGCAAGATAAACACCGGATCGAAAATGATCGTATTCTACGATAACAAAGAACAATAAGAGCAATCTATGTTCTTAAGATTTTTTTCTCAAATTCTTTCGTACACTTTATTATATCTCCAAGGGAAATCTTCAGAAAAGTCCCAATATTTACGGAAAAGTTACACTTTAGTCCCAAGATTTTTTTTTTGAACGAAAAAGTCCTGAAAACCGGCAAAAATTTGCAGTTTGACCCTTTTTGACCGGTTGAAACCGGTACCAAACTAATTTGGGACTATTTCGTAAACTAATCCAAAATATTGGGATTTTTCAGTAAACAAAAAATATTAGGACTTTTCTGTAAACAAAAATATTAGGACTTTTCTATAAACAAAACCTTAATTATTATTATTGTTATTATTATAATTATTATTATTATTATTATTATCATCATCATCATCATCATCATCATCATCATCATTATTATTATTATTATTATTATTATTATTATTATTATTATTAAAAATATAAATAAGAATACTTTTTTTTGAACTTGTTATTATTAATATTGTTACTAATACATATAAATGTATTTAAATGAAAAAATAATATTAATGACATTGTTTAAGGGTGGAGGTGGAGGAGATGTTGCTGCCTTTAGCATTGAAATCATGCATGTTTGCTTGTATATTTTTACTTTTTATATGGCCATTTCACATTTGTTGTTATTGTTTTCAATTAAAAATAATAATACTTAACAATTTAAAAGAAGTTGCATATTTGTAAAATTCTTTATAAATAGTTTAAGTTAGAAGGATTTCTCACTTTGTATATAAAAATGTTTACAGTAGAAGGATTATTTTCCAAATCCAACAGATCCACTACAAATATCTACATAGGTAGCCCATATCAAAATTCAAAAATATTAATTACAATATCTTGTTCAATAAAAAGTAATAGGACATGTTTTTTGGATTAATACTTTTGAATTTTGAATAATACTTTTGAATTATTCCTATTACTTTTTGTTAAACAAAATATTGTAATTAATACTTTCGAATTTTAATATAGGTTACTTATGTAGATGTTTGTAGTGGATTTGTTGGATTTGGAAAGTAATTCTTCAACCTTAAACAATTTTATATACAAAATGAGAAACTCTACTACCTTAAACTATTAATATGCAACTTCTTTCAAATTGTTAAATATTAATATTCTGAATTGAAAACAATAATAACAAATATGAAATGACCATATACAAAGTAAAAATATACAAGTAGACATTCACGATTTCAATACTAAAAACATCACCATCTCCTCCACCTCCACCCTTAAACAATGTTATTAATAATATTTTTTTCATTTAATGCATTTATATGTATTAGTAATAATATTAAAAATAACAAGTTCAAAAAATAGTATTCTTATTTATATTTTTAATAATAATAATAATAATAATAATAATAATAATAATAATAACAATAATAATAATTAAGGTTTTGTTTATAGAAAAGTCCTAATATTTTTGTTTACAGAAAAGTCCTAATATTTTTTGTTTACTGAAAAATCCCAATATTTTGGATTAGTTTACGAAATAGTCCCAAATTAGTTTGGTACCGGTTTCAACCGGTCAAAAAGGGTCAAACTGCAAATTTTTGCCGGTTTTCAGGACTTTTTCGTTCAAAAAAAAAATCTTGGGACTAAAGTGTAACTTTTCCGTAAATATTGGGACTTTTCTGAAGATTTCCCTATCTCCAATTAGGAGATATAATAGAAATCATTTATTTTAAGAAACAATATAAATTCAAAAGATTTAATCCAACTAGGAGATCATTCTTAATCAAGATATATCTTAACAAAAAAAAATCTTAAAATAAAATAAAATAAAACTAATAAACAAAATCTTCAAATTGTATTTGAAATTCCTGAATCGTTTTTCCACTCTTGAAAACGACTCGTCATCGACTCTTCGTATTTAATTCGTCTTACTCATGGCTTTCCAAATGGCAAACAATTTCTAAACTTTAAAACGACATATAAGCAGAAAAACAGCAACGGTAAAAAAATGTTTTCGGTATGCTCTTGAGTTGCTTCGATTATGATTTCTTGAGTACCCATAGAAGAATTTCATGTATATAAAGAATGTAAAAATCTGAAAACTTGTCGTGGACATTATCATCACCAGTTTTCGTAATCACGGACATTGAAAAATACATCTTATTTTCAACACCATCTTCTTCTTCAACGGTTTCGCCTTCATCTTCGGTGTTATAGACAGGTTTCGTATCATGGACGAAAACAATATCACAAAATTGACAACTTTCGTTTTCATCGTCTTCGTCCCAAAAGATTGATTTTGATTCATACAAACTTGAGGGAAATTAGTGCACATAGCCATACCAAACTGGTATTATTACTATAAATATCAATGTCCTTTTGTGATACAAGGAAAAGCAAAATAAAGCATAATTAAAAAGATATTTATTTTAATAAAACGCCCCAAAAATTGTAAGGTAAATATATCATTTTTAATTCAACAAAAACATTAATTATCTTGAAGTCAACATTCAATATTTATTCATCCAAATATTCAAAAGTAATTTTATAAGAAAACAGTTATCAGAGTACAATCCTAAAATAATCATGATGCGGAAACATAGGTGAATGAATTGCGATCAAGTCGGACCCTTTCATTTCAAATTGGAAGTACCTGAAACATAAACTGAAAACCGTAAGCACGAAGCTTGGTGAGTTTCCCAAAATACAACATACCATAAATATCAAACATATAATGGGCCTCGCCCGTCCGGCATCGGGCCCTGCCCGACATCAGGTGCCGCCTGGCATCGAGCCCTGCTCGGTAAACAAATATGTCAGTCATCAGGCGCCGCCCGATATACATATTGACATATAAATAAATAATCATGCAAGCACATGCAATAATCACAAAGACAATAGTATACAATACCGTCATCGGGCCCCGCCCGACATTGGGCCTTGCTTGGTAAGTATATCAACACATAACACAAGAAATAATCATAAAGATAGATATCATAAAGAATGGTCATTAGGCCTTGCTCGCCGTAAGCCCTTGCCCAGTAAGCATATAAGCATGTACACATGCAAGAGTCACGCAGACATCTAGCATCCTATATAATAAAACCATGGGCCGATGTTGGTGCCTTTGATCCACGCTAACAAACATAAAATATCTTCCAATCAAAAAAGAGTCCCGACTTACACTAAGAGTCCAAACTAGGGTAAAATACCTTTTTTACCCTTTCCTAACTTGTCCCAAGGCGAAAGCCCAATCTAATTGTCGGAACGATGTCCGTTTTGGGCGCAAAAAATCGCAAAGAAGAGGCATGAGCTGCACACTTTGGTCACTTTTAAACATCGTAACTAACTGAGCTAGCTCAGAAAGTTGATCTCCAATGCAATGAGTGTTCATTTCCAAGCCATATTTTTTTGTTATTTTTTTTTTCAATTTCGAGATTGTAGATTAGAGTGCCTGTATGATGAGATATGAGCATAGAGAAACAAATTGATTAAAAATAAACTAATCCTTGGAAAGATGCTTAATGGAAATTGTGCTCGAAAATTCACTATTTTCTTCTAAATTCAAGGTCCAACTTCCCCAAGCTCCATAACTACTAGCTCACTCCATGTATAAACTCCACTAGTTATTAAGCCCATAATCCTTGTTGTCCTCTAAATCTAATTGCTTTCTATAGGTCCCGAACATTCCCGCTCTGCTAGTCTCCTTGAAATCTGCAATAAATCTCACAAAACTAGAAAGTACCTGAAATTGCAATAAAATAATAGAAAGGAAAATATGCATGAAGATTAGCTAAGTTGTGAATGAAATACAATAAAATAAACTATAAAAAGAAGTAAATAAAAGGAAACTATCAAATAGCATAAAGAATGGTCATCGAGCCCCGCCCAACATCAGACCTTACCCGGTAAGCATACAAGCACATACACATGCAAGAGTCACGGACACATCTAGCATCCTACATGATGGTGACAAAGACTATAACGCTCACCAAAACCTTAAGTCCTTTATGATGGTGACAAAGACTATAACCCTTGATCGAAACTGGCAAATCCTTAAACCAACTTCCCGTTCCTAGAAGGACCACTGCATTCCGACCATCTTCAACCTTCACGATTATGAAATTCCCTTGGTGCAATCACTGCTCCACCCCTCAACATTGGACAGTCGTTCTTCGTTTAGCCCACCTGGTTGCAGTGAAAATGCATCAGGTTCGATCCACGGGGTAATCCCTACTAAAATGACCCATCTGATTACAACTAAAACATTCTCGGCCTATCTCACGACATCCCCCATGCTTGACACAACGACCCCGACCTTGATGTCTTCCCAGACATGAATCCCAAGTCTTGGGCCTCTTCACCTGGCACACTGAAATATGAGGTTCGTAAATCCCAGATTTTGATTTTTTTGTCCATTCCGGCGGTGGTCATGTGGCCGTTGGTGGCAGAGGATTGTGAACTTGTAACATACACAAACTTTAGCTGCTTTGTTTCACTTTAATCCTGGGCTTCGGCCCATGTACAGCAATTCAGCAAAGCAAACAGTAGCTTACTCTCGCTTTTTATTCTTTATTTATTTATTATTTAATTTTCTTTTCTTTGGGTACAGAGGCTCTTCCCGCTTGTTTTGCCTTCCATCTCCCAGCACCTCAATCTCAATGGCGTTTGATGCTGCCGACAACTCACCCTCTTCTCGTTCTCACTTCAAAAAATCTGTAAGTTTTAAGTTTCTTCCCTCCTTAAATTTCATCCATTCTTCCTTCACCGATGCATTTCCCTGATTTGTAAATCAGGTTTCTTTGCGAGACTGGTGGTTAACTAAACCCCAATCGGACGATGACAGAAATACAATAGGGGTTTCAGGACTCACTTCCACTTCGCAACTGTATCTCTCTCTCTCTCTCTCTCTCTCTATAGGGTTTGACTTTGTTATTTGGTAACAAATTTCAAGGTATCAAGTATGATCGATCTTTGATGAAATTACAGGAATCGGGCTGAACGCTGTTTCTCTTCTGCACCAATCGTGAAGGCGTACGATTTCTTTGAATTAGAGACTGTTGATGGCGTATGCGTCATTCTGCAAGGTTACATCAACAAAGAGAAAACGCTTGGAAGTGGATTTTCCTCAGAGGTATGTTAAAGAAACAATCTTTACTATGGATGTTTGGTAGCTTGTAGTGTTAAATTTGTTGTTATAGGTTTATTTGCGATGGAAAATGAGCTGTATGTATTGTTTCTTTTCATTTACAGGTGTTTGATCATTTTGTTATCGGTTTTCCCTCATATTGGGAAGAATTTTCTACAAGTTGTCCCCAAAGAGGATCTTCTGATGAATGTGTTTCAAAAGGTACTAATCTAGGTTTTGTTTTTTTTTGTTGGAGCCAAAAAATGAAGAATTAGTAAATAGAACGTTTATTTTTGTACAAAAATATGAAATTCTATAACCTTCAACACATACACATTCTCACTTTCTTCATATAATCAGAACACGAAGATGAAAAACACTCCATTGAACAACATGACAAGTTTCATGATATGAACAACATACACAAATCTCCTAGTGTCTCTCCACATGTATGTTTTCTTCATTATATATACATATGCATCTATAGATTCAATCTGATTATATCATGGAAAGTTGGATGAATTTAGAGGTTGTTATTTTCAAAATAAAGGAATTAGTTTGAGAATTGAATAATGTGATTATTGAGTTGTGGGTTTTAAATTAATGGGAGATTGCTGTAAAATAGGGACCCACAGAAACAGAGTGTTACAGTTACAGTGGCAAAAGATCTAGATCAGGGAGAGTTCTTTTGCCTTCCTTGGAATTCTGGCGCAACCAAACAGTGGTTTATGATGCAGGATTGGTAATATTAATATTAATATTTAATAAACAATTAACAACAATATTATTATTTAGGGATAGTATTTACTATTTAGCTTTACTAATTTTATACATATACTAGAACTTAGGTGCTTAAAGTTAATGCTCTTTCCTTCCTCAACTTGTTACTCACACTTTTTTTTTTTTTTCATTTAAATTTTTTAAGGATCGACAAGTTACTGGAGTTTCTGTGGCAGGGGACTATGGCATTGGCGGGAGGCGTGTTCTTGGCAAGAACATTTAGGGTTTATCACACCATGTGAACACAATACTGGTTTTCATCGATTGTTTCTTTTTGATTCTTATGAATTGATTGATTAGTCTTAGTAGTTTATAGCAACTTAGTATCAGAGCATGATACAATGGCTCACTTCACAAATGGTGGCGATGGTGTAAAAACTAAACGATCGTTATCAATTAAGTACTTAACAAATAATTGATCACTTTTCAAGCATAGTGACATATTAAATTAGTAGCATCTATTTGTTAAGCACTTTCAAAGCATATTGCACACTTTTGGAACATATTAAAATGAAGATAGTAGTATCTCTTGATTAAGCATTTTACAATTAAGTAGAATAAAGACAAATTAGTGTCTTATTAGCAAAATTAAAAACATGAAGGTGGTGGTGTTTGTTAGGCAGTCAACGATGATTTGATGGTGACGGTACAAGCAGATGACGATGGTGGTTGAAACCGAAGGCGGTAGGTGGGGGTGGTGGTTGTAGCTGGTTTTGCTGCTTGGTCTTCGTTGGAGATAGATAGAAAACAATGGAGAGAGAGAGAGAGAGAGAGAGAGAGAGAGAGATGTAGTTGGCAATGACCTTTGGTGTTACGAGAACTGACCTTTGATGTTGGATGGATCTACGACGTGGTTGGCAATGAGTGACTTTAGCGAAAAGAGATGTAGCTACATGAGTGCAAGAATGGGCATTGACCCACCCTACACAAATTTGAGGTGAAATACATTATATATAGATTTTATATTTCTTTTGAGTAAAAAATGATAAGGGTGTAAATTGTAACGGGTCCATTTCATTCTAAACTTAAATTCATAATGAAAAAAATAATTTAAATGTTGAGACATGTCGATTAAAAAATTAGGTCAACAATTTTTTAAATATATCAAATTGCATTTCAATCTTCGCAGTGAACTCCTAGTGAACTCCTCGTTCATCAAGTTTGTATATTAATATTTTTTTGGGTAAATTACACGGATGGTCCCTGTGGTTTAGGGTAAACTGCGTGCTTGGTTCCTAACAAATTTTTTTAACTTGGAATGTCCCTACTTTATATTTTTGTTGCACACTTGGTCCCTATCTAACCTAAAAAGACTATTTTGCCCTTAATGAATTTTTAATTTTATTAATTTCATTTATATTTTTCCATTTATTATTAAATAAATTAAATTATTAATATATTACTGGAAAAATGATCGATCCTAGCTTACTCCTCTACAGGCTTGCCACCACCTCCGGTCATCGGCTCCAACTTCGGTAATCATTTCCGGCCATAGATCCATTACCACATAAATTACCCAAAACTCAACATGAAGCTATCTAGCATTACAACAATAAATCTGAATATGCATCTAAAACCAAACCTGTAACTCAAACCCAAAAACAAAATAAAACCCTGAAAATCATGATGAATCCTGGAACAAAACGAGATTCAGGTGTTCTTGTTTTTGCATTTGAACCACAAAACAAAAAATGTTTGAAATCCAATCGATGATGAGTCCTAAAAATTAACTGTGGTCTCAAAGACGAAGATCAAAGTTTAAGAAAATAAAGAAGATCGATGACGAGAAATCGATGTTTAAAACCCAAAATATAGTCTAGAGACCGACAAGATCAGTGACAAACAAATCGATTTTTTATCCATGTGAGAGAAGGTTGAATTCAGTAGGTTCAAACAAAATAAAGGGTAAAAACATGGTCGCCGACAACACGAGTTTGATGTCATTGACCATCGATGAGATAAGAGATGAAGGGGAGAGAAAGAGTGGTCAGTTGTCGTCGTCAACATGCATCATCCCTGCTTTCATATCCTTCAATTTCCAAATAAACACCCAATTGATCTTCAGAAACCCTAGAACCCATCTTCACCGTTGCCATAGTTTTCTTCCCACGAACAGGAACAAAAAGCGGAGGTGCAGAAACCCTAGATCCATTACCATGTTGTGCGCTTTACAGTTTATGTTTGCCAAAGAAACACTGAATTTCGACCTATGTTCCTTTTTATATAAGATTGGATCTGATTGGTGGTGAATAGTGATGGTGGTTCGTCGGAGAATATCGAAAGGGTGGTGCTGCTGGTTCGTCTGAGAAGGACAGGAAAGCAAGGGAGGTGGAGGGTGGGGTTTGATGGTAGATGATGAGGAAGTGGACCCACATATCTAATAAGCAATGTAGTTTTAATTAATAATTTTTCATATTTAGTTAATATATTTTTTTAAATAGCTGATAATTTAAAAAATGATAAAATAAACCAGTAAGGGTAAATTAGTCTTTTTAAACCAGATAGGGACCAAGCGTGCAACAAAAATATAAATTAGGGATGGTCCAAGTTAAAAAAAAGTTGTTAGGGACCAAACACGCAGATTACCCTAAACCATAGGGACCATCCGTGTAATTTACCCAATTTTTTTATTATTAGTTAATTACTTCCATCTTAAACGATCAATTTACTTTAAAATCATATATTGTTACCATTTCCAGTATTTTGCTACTTGTTCATATTTTGTAAATTATTTGGTCTATCCTAAAACAAAATTCGCTACGCTACTATAATGCAAGCACACGAATGGAGAGTTTTGGGTAATAGGGCGATGCTTTTAGCGGTGATATGTGCTTTATTGAATACTCCAATCATGTCCGGCTAATGTTGCAGTTAAAAGCATCACCGTATTGCCCGCAGTTCTTGTAGTGATAACCACATGTTAGCGGATTCACCAATAAAGAAGCTACAACCCAAATTGTTCCTTGAATATGTTTTAGGAATGATATTACTAATAGATTTATATGATATCATATATTATGTGATTGTTATGGCCATTTTTATTAGTGAATATGATTGTATCTTTCAAATCGATCTTGTTGCACTTTTCATACTTATTTATCTTAATATTGTAAACAATTATGAGAGTCAATGGCAAATTGTATTATCTCTGATGTCAATATGTTCTTATATTACTATAATTCAATATCACATTCATATATAAATATGGTGGACTTATGTGATCTTTGACTTTATGATAAGTGTTGAACATATACGACTGTGTCTTTTGACCACTGTATATATTTTCATTTAGTCAAGATGGATGAAATACAATTTATACTTGACCTATACTTAAGAAGTCTTAATGTAAATAGTCTACGTCCAAGTGGGAGAATGATACTATTTATCATTATATATATATATATATATATATATATATATATATATATATATATATATATATATATATATATATATATATATATATATATATATATATATATATATATATGTCGCCTGAATTAATTACAGTATGTGTATTACTCTACAATTAGTATATGGTGATAATTATGTTTTGACTCACACGTAATATTATTCAGTTAATGACCAACTATTAATCTCTAAAGAATCAAGATGGGCTATTCTAGTCACACCAACATTCTTGAGGGGATATATTTTAGGGCAAGTAGGCTAGACAATGACTTCACACAACAAATGCTAGCAATTTGTGAGGCTATAGAAACCTGCGTGTTGAAGGGTTAGCGAGTCCTTGACATGTTCAAGGATTATTGTTGTCTGTTAAAGAGAATCACAGCTAATAGCACTCATGAAAGAGGTGGCAAGTTGCATACATTTGAATGGGAAACAACTCAAACTGTCTTGATTCACCTTGCAATCAGAATGAATCAGTATTACACTATCTATTGGTGTGAATCTTAGACACAAGTTGCATATATATTGTGGTCCTAGAATCTCATTCAAGCATCAACCACCCAAAAACCATACTAAAATAACATATTGTGTGATATCAAGTAGCTAGATGGACAGCAAAAGTTTCCTTTTTTAGGTTTCGCAAGTGTCAAAACTGTCATCATTAGTGACGAAAAAGATGGTAGAAAAATCTGAATTCGGGTTTTGAAAAATCCAATTCAGTGGTCATCCTACTAAGCAGATGTTAGATATGTCATCCAAAATGGAAATTAATGAACTTTGGGTAAGAATCTTTGATCTTTATGAACAAATATAGAAGGGTTTCCAGGAAATACAAATGTACAAAGGGCACTCATATATATTCTTTGCTGTTTCCCTCTTTAATCCCTTATCCCATCTCTCCAGATACATGCTTTTTAACATTCTTGATTTATTTGGTTGTTTCCTTTTTATATTTGGAGTAATCCACTCAAGTACCACATTGCTTTCTTCATAAAACTTCAAGATATATATAATAATTTTATTTATTAAATTAACAGATATAAACTAATATCTTATATACAGATGTAAAAAGATTTTATCTATGAAATTTTATATGAGATTCATCTGATTTATATAAAAGAAACAAATATGGATACATACTTGGTGCAAATTATGCACAGATATGACGTAAAAGATTGCATATGCAAAGAATTTCTGGTTTAATTGATGATATTTTATAGATTAAAACTCATAGTCATTATATGATCTTTTGCATTTATGATTTTTTTGCGAGTAAACTCATGCTTAGCTCAACATGTAAGAAAAAAAAAGCCATTAATCCTAAAGTTATCTTGGTGAGTATTCAGTTAATGCCTAAAAACATGAGTAAATTAAAACATAAATTCAAACATATTTTTAATTTTTACTAAATTTATTTTAACCGTATAACTGTATTACGCAACACGCGAGGTTGCGTCTAGTTAGAAACTAAAGAAAGATAAATATATCGAAAGTCAAATCTTGAAGGCTGACTCGGCATGTTATTATACCAAATATACAAACAACAAGCTAAATTTTATTTAATGGCTATTAACTCAAACCCGATGTCAAACCCCATTTTCTATGTGAACCACATTTTAAGCGATGCCAACATTAATTACTCAAAACAAATGAATTGTAAAAGTATATTGATAGCTTTCCATTAACAAGTCTCGAAGATATGTGGTTTCAGAACACCATAGAACTTCGACCAAATTGGAAAGATGCCAACAACCATGATAGACAAATATGTAAAATAATAAAGAAAAATTAAATATTTTTTATCTTTTGTTTTTGTTCATCTCTTAATCATAAAAATAATGATATATAAGATTCGTTAATTCTCTCCTTTAATCCCTTTTTGTTTCTATATTTGTCTTGATTTAATGAGTAGAAAACTGTTGGAATCCTAAGTCGATGAGGACTTGGAGACCAAACAATCTAATTTATAGAAAGTTTAGTTTATGGCAAGTTCTCCATATGTTTCTTAGTCTAATACAAGTTGGTATGTTAGGCTATATATACCTGTCTATAATCGAGTTTATGATTATGAGAACAGATTGTAAAAATATTGGTTTTGAGTGA